ATGAAATAATGTTAAACATTGAGCACCCTGGTCCAAAGGATGCTGACCAATATGTAATGGGAATGTATTGGAAAAGTGGTTCCTATAACAAATTAGGTCACTTCTATTTTAAAGATATGTACCACTCTCCAGAGTGGCAAGGGGCTGTTCATATGGTCCCGAATCCACTAAAACCACATATCCAGTCTTTTAAGGACATGATGGCCATTGCTAACCCCACCTTCGAAGACACCATGGCCACTGAAACTGGTTACAATGATATCAATCTATGGTTAGAGTGGATGAAATACAATGCTAATAAACATGCTATGTGTGCGGTGGTGCTCAACCTCATCTTGGCACCGTTCCTCTAACTCTCCCTTTGGAGATAGAGATTTGCTTCCTTAGTCTTTTTGCCTACCGCTATAATTTCAACAGATCCCTCTGCGAAGCATGGACGGCAGAGTACCCCATCATAATTGGAAATGTCAAACCCCCAGATGGAATCACGATTTACAAGGGTAATTACACTTGTTATGCTATCTATGATGGGATTGGTAAATTCATGGGTAACCTTTCTAAAGGTTATTGCGCCACCTACAGAACTGTTCCTATACGCCTGTTGCAACACCATACCAGGTCATTGGGGGATATTTACTGGTTATGTGGGGATCTACAGTTAAGATCTGGGCTGGAAACTGAGTGTTGGGGTGAGTGTACCCTGGCCAAAGTTATCATGCCCATTCATATTATTTCTGATAATCATCATGACACATACGACCCTCCACATACATCAGCCAGAGTGAGGCGCGAAACCCCAGTAAAAGGCAGTTTTGACCCCCACATTTACATAGATGCCGTTGGGGTACCTAGGGGGGTGCCTAATGAATTTAAAGCTAGAGATGAAGTAGCTGTAGGTTTTGAATCACTTTTTACCATAGTCACTGCCAACAAAAACCTTAATTGGATTAACTACATTTATTACAACCAACAGCTTTTTGTCAACTACACCAGGGATGCCCTCCAGGGCCTGGCCGAGCAGTTGCAGGCCACATCCCAAATGACCTTCCAGAACAGACTGGCCTTAGACATGATTCTAGCTGAAAAGGGGGGTGTATGTAAAATACTACCTGACACCATGACTTGTTGCACTTATATCCCAGAAAACACAGGTCCAAATGGTAAAGTCACTATGGCCATAGCGAAGTTAGAGAAACTCTCAGAAGAGTTGAAAAGGAATTCTGGGGTAACAGATCCCTGGGAAAGGTGGTTTGGTTGGATGTCAGGTTGGCAGAAAGCTTTAGTCCATATTGGTATGGCTCTACTAATTTTCCTTTTTGTTCTCGCTCTTCTCGTTTGTTGTGTCCTCCCATGCCTTAGAAAATTCTTACAGAAGACTACAGACCAAGCAACACTAACTCTCACTCATCTGACAATCGATGATCAAGATCTCACCTCACCCTGTATTCCGCTACAAACTCTCCCTTATACTGATAAAGTGCAGAAGTTCTAGGAAGGGAACCAGTGCAGGGACAGCATCTGTCTCTACAGGCGAGTCTCACGTGCGGAGATGTGGTGGACTAGCCGCTGCGGGTTACCCACGGAGTGAAGTGTTCGATGCTTGTTAAGACAGATGAGCTGCAGCCCGTTAGGGTCAGATAGGGGTAGACATGCACTTTGCACTAACACCAAGCTAGCGACCATGGGGTTTCTGTGTCTTTGGGCTAACAAGTCTTCTGGTATTAACAAATAAAGTTTATCTTTTAGTAACTAACATTGTAAGGGGGGACTGTTGTAGAATTATAGAATTCTTGAAATTATCTAAGCTAATGCTTTGGCAGGAAGAAATGTGCTGAATAATAAAATGTGTATTTACTAAAAGAACCTTGAAACTAACAATACTAACTACTCAAAATGGCTGCCAAAGCACCCCTCCCATCGAGTGAACACCTCGTGCTAACAAGATGGCGCCTACATCTTGTGTCCACCCCCGTGTCAAGGATGACATCACCTCTTGATAGGAGGGTATCTAACTAACCACTTAACACCTGGACCAATCAATAGTGTCTATTTGTTGTTATCTTGAATTCTTCAGTGATGTAATAATGCCTTTAAAAGGGTCTGCGCACCCATTTTCTGCCAGAAGCCATTAAACTTCTCTGAAGTTCTTTCATTAACCTGAACTCTGTGTCTCAGTGTGAATTTACTTCTGCGTGCACGCAACTTTATTATCATTAATTTGGACAGGAACAGATAGTCATTCAAACTAATTGGTTTGCAAAAAATAATCTACTACAATGGCATAGCTATCTGGGTAACACAGCTCACGTAGGGAAAGTACCGAAAGACCCAGCTTTTGGGTCTTTGCAGGGGAAAATCCATCCTTTCAACATGGGGCCATAGT